TATCGGATAATAAAATAGTAAATGAATTGGTTTTGGTAGTTGTCTGCATCCTGACTTACACAGACATGTTTCTTTTTATTGTTTTTGCTATTTTCATAGTACAATGCTATGGTTCATTTGAAAGAAATTGGAATGAAACATTTGAGAATTCTTCAATTATATTGCCAACAGTGCCTGATGATGATATTTATAAATGTGTCTCATATACAGGAGCTCACATCGATGTTTCACATTGGATCAATCAAAATTTCTCTGATTATAAAGATTGTCAAGCATCTGGTTTATACACACTTAATAGAAGATATAGAGATTTCAAAATTGATATCGATGTTCAACGCTCATGGATTATTGAAGTAAATTTTATTTGACATTGTTTTCATTAATAACAACTTTTACGATTTATTTTAGGTTTCAGCAATTATATTCAATGGTACTATTAGACCAATTTGTGGTCTTAATTCTTTTGATTTTGGTATTCGACCAACAGAAAGTTGTGAAACAAATGGTAAATATAATTACATATTCAGCAGAGTATTAAATTTGATTGTTTTAGGAGTTAATGTGACAGTAACAGAAACAGATCGATTTGAAACGATCTGTCTTTATTATGATATTGGCAACTTAATCATCATTACTACACACAATGTAAGATTATAGACTCTTTTTACTAAAATTAATTAGACATACATGCATGTTAGGAACTAGGTGAAAAAAACCTGAAAAATGCGAATAATATGAGGCAGAAACCACATGTAGTATGTAATAAGCAGAATGCTAGAAAGTATTTTCCCTCTTCTCTGTTTAAAAATATTTGTTCCTTGCGTGTTGAAGTATAGAACTTGCTGCTGAGAGTATGCTAAATGACCGATTTATTTATGCATCGACATCATTCACCGACTGTTCCTATTACTATATTATTTTAGAACTGCTATTAGGTAACAGAGGTCTTTTCGACTAATGTCTCAGAATTTATGAGATAAATCCATGATTATTGTAATTCGTTGGTTGGATATTGGATATTCTTCTTAAAGAAGACTGAAGCAAATATAGATCTATCAACTAAAGAATACATCTTTTCAAGATAGATGCAATGATTAACAACATATAAAATTGTGATTTACAAGAGACAAGACAATGACAATGTGTCTCGGTATTCTACCATACTATACCTCGAGTTCTAAAAGATTGAATGAAACTTCTACGGTAATTTACAGGAAAAACATGATAGATCATGCCCTAATCTAAATAAGA